ACTTTTTCACAAGGTTACATCCTTAGTAACTTTATGGGCCTTCAACCATCGGTTCGCTTTAGGGATCTTGTGAATACTTTCCTAAGTCAATGGGAAAACATCTTGTACCACCGACCACGGAAGGCACAAAGATCATGCAACTGGCAGCCACCTCCATAAGGAGTCATAAAGCTTAACTTCGATGGTCGTTCACTGGGGAACCCCAGCCATGCAGGTACTGGTGGTGTCTTCAAAGACCAGCATCGCACAATCCTGTTAACTTACTCCGAGTATCTTGGCCTTCAAGATTCTCAATATGCCGAAGCAATGACATTACTGCTGGGCCTCAAAAGCTTCAATCAGTCTTGGGGGCGATACCTTATAGTGGAGGGTGATGCGCGTGATATTATATCATGGGCAACCGGGAGATCCACACCTCCATGGGTACCTCGCCTCAAGGACGTCAGATGAGTTCGCAGATCTCCTGGCGAAGGATGGAGCTAGGGCCCAAGTAGAAGACAAAACCCAGTCCACCTCCTCTTTTGCTCTGGGCCACAGAGGGTACACATAATAGGTATACGGGCAAACCTATACGCCCATTTTTGTAACCTCTTTGTAAATCTATTGTAATCGGGCAGACCTATAATCCCATTTTTTTGTACAGGGTCGGTTGACCTATTTTTTATTAAGAGCCTCGTCTAGTGGGAACTCTCGGATTAACCCAATATTGTATTCCAATTCTTTATAGCAATACAAATGTTAACTTTAATCAACAAAAAATGGCAGGCAGATAGAATGCCATCTTCCTAACAAGGGTGGTAGAACTAAAGATGGTCACAACCTAAGAACGTTACCATAGTTTCCAATAGTTGTCAGTCAAGCAGGTGTAGGAAGGTCTTTCATACATGGAAAAATCATAAACCTCCATAATGTATTTCAATCAATCAAAGGTACGGAATTTGAGACCTCCATAATGTATTTCAATCAATCAAAGGTGTGGAATTTGGTCTAATAGGAGGTGGTTGCAGAAGAACTGGACTTTCAGGCAAAAGTAGCCACATGCCACCAATATCAGAGAGGGCCAAAGCCACTTGTGATGGATTTCATCTATAGCAGAGGAATGAAATTTACTAGCACAATTATCTAAATACAATAGTTGTCTCTAATGCTAGAAACCTACTTCTCTAGTTCTGGGAGTACCCTAAAAGTGACCCAAACTATACATTGGCACTAAGACTTCAAAAAGGGTCATGGAATCAATCAAGGGACTCACTCTCATCAAATGGTGTGCCACTCCTCTCTTTCTCCCTTTCTCTATGGTGTGCCACTCATTTCTCTCTTTCTCACACGAACATGGTAATAATGCTTTGAAATGGACTCTTTCCCCCTTTCTCTATGGTGCGCCACTCATTTCTCTCTCTTGTTCTCACAAGAACATTATAATAATGCTTTGAAATGGATGGTTCAAGTGTGAGAAGTGACCCTTATTTATAACCTTTCGCTAAGAGTGTATAGAAGTTTCTCATAGGATCCTTGACCAAAAATAAAACCCAAATTAGCTATCCATTCCCTCACTAGCTATCGTAGATTAAGGGTTGGAAATTAACATCATTATCCCTTGACCAAAAATCAAACCCAAATTTCTCTCAATTTGAACTCAATTTTCCCACCAATAAACAAAGACATTATCATGGTTAAATACAAAGACATTATCATGGTTAAATACATTTGCCAAAATTCAAAGTTTTGCACAAAGTTACAATTTCCCATGCTCAAATTTCATGACGTCAGAAAGACCAAGTAGAGCGGGTTGTGCCCCCCAATTTTAAATATTTTCTCAAAATTCTAATTTTGAAATCAAGATTTTCTTAAAATATTTTTTCAAAGTTCTAAAATTGAAATCAAGACTCTCTCTCTCTCTCT